CAATTATATTTTCATCCCACCTTTTACCTCTCCCTGCTGAGGCTTAGTTTGGCTAGTTTTTGCTTCCTAAGCTGTGGTGAATGTAGTCCTAAATCTTTTATGCCTAATGATCCTATGGGTGAATTCTCTACAGGCTTGAATTTAGTTCAAACCGTGTACCAACCAGGCTGCACGACTCGGCCTGTTCTTGGCTCAGTTTCCTCTTGTCTAAGTGAGGACGAGGTAACTTGAAAGCTCTTCCTGGTTCATTCCCCCAGCATTCCCTGGAGTTCTATATATGGGGCTTCATGTTTCTTAGCCTATGAGGACCAGTGCTGGAGGCACGTGTGCTGCTGCTTGAGGGTCTCGTTCATTCATTCTCCATGTCTGTCCTTCAGGAAACATCCCTGGCTCAGCCGTGCTGGTGTTTGACATCCATGTGATCGACTTCCACAACCCCTCAGACTCCATCAGCATCACCTCCCACTACAAGCCCCCCGACTGCTCAGTGCTGAGTAAGAAGGGGGATTACCTCAAGTATCACTACAACGCCTCTCTCCTGGACGGGACTCTGCTGGACTCCACGTAAGGACAGGGCATGCTGTGTGAGTGTGGCGGGCCAGACCTGTGGGTTACCATTCTGTTTTCCAGTTCTCCTTGTCTTTTCTTCAAATCCTGGTGAATCCCTTTCTTGTCTCCATTCTTTCTTCAGTTGTTTAAACTTTTGTCACTGCTCAGGCATATTATTTCATGAGTTTCCTATTAACGGTTTCCCTCAGCTCCAGGCCACTTTTCACTCCATGAAAACTGTGTTTCTGAAAAACATCTTTTCATATGACTTCCCTCTTTAAAAATAAACTCACAAGGTACACTGAGCTTTTATTAAGAGTTAGAAAGAATTTGGAACAGATAATGATGATGATTCTACAACATGGTAAATGCAATTAATGCCACTGAATTGTGCAAGTAAAATTGGTTGAAATGGCAAATGCTTATATACACATATACATATGAATGTATATAAATATGAATATATATAAATGTATGAATGTGTGTATATACATTCACATATAGTGTTGGCTTAGTGATAAGGGGTTACAGTGCCAATCCAAAGGTATGTGGTTCAAAGCCACCAGCTACTCAGCAGAAGAAAGTTGGACAGTCTCCTCCCATGCAGTTTGCAGCCTCTGGTGGGTCAGCCTCTGGAGTTGATTCTGACTCCTGTATGATGCGTAATAACAACACACACATATCTACGTCTAGATCGATATCTATATCTGAGGCCCTTTGATGGCACATTCTTTAGGGAGTTTTGCTGCCGACCCACCAAAGTCTGTGCCTCTCAGGCAGTTTGAATCTACCAGCAGCTCCTTGGGAGAAAGGTGAACAGTCTCCTCTCATATAGTTTACATCCTTGGAAAGCCAACGGAGGGTCAGCTATGAGTTGGTTCTGAGTTTTTGGCAATGAGTGAAAAAATAACATATTTTATATATATTCTCATAATAAACTAGGCAATATCTTGATAGATGGAGAAAAGATAGAGGTTGTTGACAACCTCACCTTAAATGGATCCACAGTATACTTGGGACCAGCAGCACTCAGAGGATGAAGAGATGTATTGCACTGGGAAAGTCTGTAGTCAAGGATTTCTCCAAATAATTGAGGGGCAGTGATGTTAGTTTGAGGACTAAGACATGCCTAATTCAGGCCATGGTCTTTTCAGTCACTTGCTATGCTGCTGAGAATTGGACTAAGGATGACAGAAGAATGGATGCCTTTGAACCCGAAGTTGGAGAAGAGTACTGAATATCCTATGGACTGCTAGAAAAACAAGCAAATATGTCTTGGAAAAGGTGCAGACAAAATGCTTTTTGGAAACAAAGATGATAAAGCTTCATCTCACATATTTTGGGCATGTTACTTGGAGAAGGGTGTTCCTTGGAGAGAGACATCATGCTTGGAAAGGTGGAGGCATGGCAAAGGAGAGGAAGGCCCTCAAATACATTGGTTGACACAGTAACTGTAGCAATGAGTTCAAGTGTGTCAGAGATTGTGAGGATGGTACAGGATAGGACAGGGTTCAGATCTGTTATTCATAGGGTCACTATGAGTCATACTTGACAGCACCTAACAACAATAACAATGTCATAATAAAACTTTGAAAAAAATCCACAGATAAAAGTCCTCACTCCAGTCTGTCACCTAAGGCACCCTTCCCTGGCTCTACGCTCATTGCTTTCATCTCCTGTTAGGACCCACCTTGAGCTACCCAGGGGCACCATGTGCAGTGGTGTGGTCTACCTTCCACCTATCCAGCTTCTTTCTTGGCTTAAATGCTCTCTCCTTTCTCAAAAGCTTAATTCCTAGCATGAATCAACTGTTCCCAATTCTGTAGTCTATATAGTCTAAATAGTGTTTTTCTGGTGCTGTGGGTAAAAGTATACAGGTAGCCCCCAACTTAGGACATGTCCCATTTACAGCAGACTGTAAATGTAGGTAAACTTACTACTCTGAGGGTTGTTGTTTTTTTTTGGGGGGGGGAACATCTTATTGTTGGAAATATGCTCTGCAAACAACATGCCAGTTTGCTGATTTTATCATTCTAATGCCAGCACTCAAGGACTGAAACTACTGAAAATAAAGAGCAGTAAAAAAGGAGAGAATGAGGTCTAAAGTCTGAAGGAGCCCTTTTGTGAGTTGGGGACCACCTGTATCACATAAAATTTAACATCTTAACCATCCTTAAGTGCAGAGTCCCCTGGTATTGTTCTTACCTGCAGTGATGTACAAATACCACCACTCTTTGTTTCTAAAACTTTTCATCAACCTAAACAGAAACTGTTCAGTAAGCCCTGTACCCTGCTCCCATATCCTCCTGCTGATAATCACCAATCTACCCTGTGTTTGTGCATTTGTTTATTCCAGATTTTTCATGTGAGTGACATCATACAGAATGTGTCATTTCATTGTAATGTAACATTGCCAGGGTTCTCTGGTGACGTGGTGCCTAGGGAATTGTGCTGTTAACACCAGCAGCTCCATTGGAGAAGAATGAGCAGTCTCTTCCTGTGTGATTTACCACCTCCAGAAACCTTCTGGTGGGTCAACTGTGATTCAATTCCAACTCGACAGCAATGGGTTTAAGTTTTTGAGTTATTCATATTGTAACATTTATTATCTAGATAGGCATTCCTTTTTCATAGTTGTTGTTATGTGCCATCGAGTCACTTGGGACTCATAGCGACCCTATGTAGAATATAATATTTCATTATATTAAGGGAGGAAATTGCCTTCTCTTGCAGTGCAGCTTCTCACCACTAGGCTGCATCCTATTTTGCTGCTGTATGCCTCTGTTGATGGACTTAGGTTGCTGTGCTTTTTGGCTATTGTGAATAATGTTACACTGAAAGTCGATGTACACAACACTTTTTGCGTTGCTTCTCTTCATTATCTAGTGCTGCTGTACCAGAGATACTGCAGGTTCATAGCTTTAACAAACAAATTTATTCTTTTACAGTTTAGGAAGTTCTTGTGTACCATCAAGTCAAAACTGACCCCTAGCTGACCCACAGGTGGGTTTTCAGAGGCAGTTAAACACAGGAGAGGAGATTGCCCATCCTTCTTCCTCAGAACAGCTGGTGGATTCAAACTGTGTGCCTTTGAGATTACAGCTTCTTACCACTAGGCCACCAGAGCTCCCTTTTAGGATAAAGGTTAAAAGTACAGGTTATTGAAGCTGCAGGCTCCAGGGCGGCTTTTGTTTTCCCCAGATCTGCAGGCTCTGTGCTCCTTGGAGATCTCCACGGATCAGCATTCGTTCCCCTCTGTAACAAGGATCTTCTTAGCGCAGGCCACGGAGTCCTTAGGGCCTCCTCACTCCCAGCCTTGTTTCTTGGTGCTACTGTGGGCACCTTTCTGTCTACTTTCTTTCTGGCTTATCACTTGTGGAAAAAAGGCAACACCCAGGGAAACTCCCCCTATGTGAGATCAGGGCTTTGATGGGATTGAAAGTATTGTATTCCACTCTTACTCTTTTTACAACTCTTGGGTTTACCAGATAATGGCAAATCATCACATAACTTCCATGTTACATCATTACGTAGGCATGTTTCGGGGTAGGGCAATTCAGTCCATGAATACCTGGACTTTTAAAATTATTTTTAAATTAATTTTTGTCCCTTATCTCTTTTTTGTTTTTATTGTTATATTTTGTTGTTATTTTTTTAATTTGTTTTTGTTTTTAATCTCTGTGGCTGGCCCAAATACTTTGAAGACTCCAATATGTTTATTCATTTTTTTATTCCTTACTCTTAGCACAGACTATAGTAGAAACTAAACATCTTTTAAATGTTAATTGATTGATGTGCATTTTGGAAAGATGTTTAATAGGCATCAACGGCATAAACAGCATGTATGTAAAGGATAGGAAGCTTCTCATGTGTTTGGGGAGTCCTGGGAGCATGGTCCATCAGGAGTTGAGCTGCTAACCTCTCTCACCAGTGGCTCTTCAGGAGAAAGATGGGCAGCTTCCTTTTGTGTGATATACAGTCTCCATAAACCCCTTGGAGGGTCAGTTATGAGTCAGTTCCGACTCCATGGCGGTAAATTTGGGTTTCGGTTTGAATTTTATTATATACCTACATCTTCAAATGGGTCCTTAAATACAACATTTGTTTTGTTAGAGAAGAAACATCATCAGCCTTTCTTTACATTGCATTCATAGAAGTAGTTCAGGTGATACAGTAGGAGCATAAATTTGAATAATATTCAATTTCATGGGTCTTCCTTGTATGTGTATGGACAATATCCTATCACTCATAACACTGTATTTCAGGATAGAACTTGGACTTGACTTTTTAACTATGAATGCAACACCATTCTTCTTCTGTTTTTCATTCCCAGAATAGTGTACCATATAATTATCTGATTCAAGGTGACTAAAGCTGGTCCATCTCATTTCACTAATTCTAGATGGTTATGGTCACACATTCCACTTCATTTTTCAAAATTTCTAGTTTTCCAGCATTCAATTATTAAACGATGTTTATCTTAATTTTTCCTCATTACAACTGACTTCTAATTTGGGCTCTTCCTCTACACTACTATAACTTTCAATGTTCTTTGACAGTTCATAGGGTTTTCAGAGGCCTGCTGTGTACGAATTAGTTGGTCAATCCTGCTTCCTATTCTGTCTTATCTGGGAGCTCTACTAAAACCTGTTCACCATGGGTAACTCTTATGGCATTTGACATACTAGTGGCACAGCTTTCAGTGTCACAACAACCCACAAGTTATCTTAGTACGACAAACTGACAGTAATATTGCGATACAGTAATTTTGTGATGCAGTCAGTTTCAGAGTTACCCTCCTAACTTCTTTTGTGGTTGAGCCAGTTGTTGCAGCCACAGTGAATCCATATGCTGAGGCTCTTCCTCGTTCTCATTGACTCTTTACCATGCGTTATGTCTTTCTCTGAGGACTGACCCCTTCTGATAACAAGCCCAATGTATGTGTAGTCTCACCATCCTTGTTCGCAAGGCGCATTTTGGCTGCATTTCTGCCAAGACAGATGTATTTCTTCTTG